CCCCAAAACCCCAAAACCCCAAAACCCCAAAACCCCAAAACCCCAAAACCCCATGTTCATTTTGTGTTATTGGGCTTAAATAAATAGTTAAGTATGTATTGACAAGAGATGTTCTATAATCAATGTAAGTTGTTTGGCTGGGAAGCAGAGCTTTAGAAAATGACTTCAAGTAGTGAAGTTTGTCAGATAATATCTTTATGGGATATATGGAGGTTTATTTGCAGGAGTGTAAATTATTAGTATTTGGGTAGTAATTTGAAGACTTTTGGGAAAGATTCGACACAATTATAGTTGGAAGGTAGCAAAGGAATCCTAAAGGTCTACTTTTGAGGTAGAATGCAAGCTCATGCTTAGACTAATAATAAATTTGCACTATGGAACTTATTGAAGACTTCATTATAAAAAGCTAACTTTTTACAGTCTTTTTGATATCTTTATTAACCCTACGATCCTGAAAGTTTACATTGATATGAAATTTCTTCAAATCTTTTTAGCTAGATTATTACAAGAAGTCTAAAAGAAGCGACAGTTTTAGATTAGGTTTGAAATAATTTTCAAATAACAGAACTCAATTTGGCTAATTATTAGAAAATGTTGGTTTAATTAAACTAAAATATGGCCACAATTGTGTGATTAGCATCTATGAAACATTCTCATACTTGTATAGGGAGTGCTAATTTATTTATGATAACAACAAAATATAACCTTCATAATTTCTGATTATGTGATTATCAGAGCGGAAGCATCTTCCTTCGAAATGCTTCATGTTCCAAAATCCCAGAAATATTGACTCCAAAACTTAATAACTCAGAAGAGATAGATAGAGAATTATATGAAGAAAAAGCTGCTAATAAATCCTCTAAGAAGTTATTGGAAGAAGATGCGTCAGAATCCCTTGCAAATGAGAACTTTGAAAAATTTGTTTGAGACCAAGTTAAGCAAAACGACACAATCCCTCGATTCCCTATTTTTGAGCTTTCTAAAAGAAAACTGAAGAAAATTGAAAGAAATTTTACACATTCGAATGCAAGAAAAGATGTGATTTATAAGGCGATCCTAAGATTCTTTAGAAGAACTTGCCAGACTGAAATAAAACAAATGAAATGCTCAGCATGTAGTTATAAACTTTACCAAGACTTTCACTGTTGCCATAATGAGGAAAAATCTACCGAATACTTGGAATCTAAGTTAGACCTCCCTGTAACTTCAGATTGATTAGAGGTTTTTCAAATTATCATATCAATTGGAAGCCATTTAGTCCCTCCTGAATCTCCCATCCATGAGTTCACAACCCACTTTAAATCCTGTATGGAGAAGTATAACCGTAAGAAACTCCATGAAATATTATTAAACAAGTATTTTGCCGTTATCTTCCTAAAATTTTGGCAGAGATCAGAAGTTTTCCAAAACATGGTGAACAGCCTCAATTCAAAGAGAGATGAAGAGATCAACGAAGGTGCTCACAGATATTATCTTCACAAATTGATGCATAACTGTATTGAGACTCTCCAAGGGTGAAAATCATAATCCTAATTCTATTAATTGAACTTCTATGGTATATCTTCTTCACCAATTTGGATGTTTATAAACTTCCGGAAATTTATGTAAAAATTACACCCTTTTCGAGAAGTATAGTTAATGCAAATTTTGGGCTTATTGGTAGGGTCACAATAACCCACTTCTTCCAGAAAATTATTAGCCAGCTTGCTTAGTTTTCTCTTTCGATTTCAACAGGAAATGGAGGGTAATAATATTGTTAGATGAAATTTCAGATTTTCTAATGTTCGATAATATTTTTAGTCGAAAAGATGGGGCTGGCATAAAAAATTATAAAAGGAATAGGGCTTTTAAGGAGGACTCCTTTTAAGTTCTAGCCAGATTTATTCAAACATCACCACCATGGATCTTTCGTAATCAGGAAGAAATGGCAAGTTCTCTTATACAAAATGGTTATAAAAATTAGTCAGAATAGAGCAGATGGATGGCTTTATAAGCATGAGCTTTATGATGAGCTTGATTAATGAATCAACATTTATGATTTCACTATATGCCTGAGACAATGAGGCTTTAAATTTAATCAAGTTTGCACAAATTTTATTTTATGAATTTGTCTTGACGCTATTAAATTGAAAAAAGTAATAAAGTTTCAATCTACTTTGCTTTATAATCTCTTGAAATTTTGGAAAAAGAAGCTTTAAAAGAGGCTAAGAATCATCTTATTATTTATATCTGTTTCACTCTCCTCGTTTAGTTGTGACAGCAAATAGATGGAGTATTCAATAGCCTAAGTGCCATATATAGGTTAGAGCATATTTATTTCTAAACGAATATATTTAGCTTCTCTGAATGATTTCATAATTTTACTCATACACAAAATTATAGTCCCACAAATTGAGTAAAAGTGCAGCTTCTGAATTCAGGATATCTTGAGAAATTCAAATATTATTAATATTCAAAAAATCTGATCAAAATCGATTGGTGAAGTAGAATTTTCTGAGTCAATGATCTCAACCTATAGTTCTGCGCTATAACAAATAAGATCATAAGTTAACTTTATTATACAGAATCATAGTTCTTTGCTAATAATACTGCAAGGATACATTCCTCATGTTAAGAGAGTAAATAATTCACTGTTATACCAATTTCTTGTGTTGATTTATATTTTGACCCAAAACTATTTGTTGAAAATTTTAGCAAAAGCCACTATAAAAATATAGAGAAAAGAGCTTTCTGGTTCTCTTAAGAACCTCCTTTAGCAAGTCATAGAAATTTAATAAATCATTGGGCATGCGAGAGAATAACTTTAGTGATGAGGTTGGAGAAATTAGACCAGGAAACAATAGTAGCCCAAGTCACTCTGAAGCTAACCTTCTTCTCTTAATAATAAATGTTATCTAAATGATTTAGGCCATCTTTTCTTATCCCTGAGCTTTATTGTTCACAATAAAAGGGGTTGGCATTATAATTTGAGTATATATTTTATAGTAGATAGTCATTGACTCTCATATAGAAATTATATAAAATGATCCATATAAACTATCGAACAAGATAAGACGGTATTGCAGAGTTATGGCCATGACGCGGAGGACTAAGGAGCAGTCTTTATTGTGAAGCTTGGTTGATAATTAATTATTAATTTTGCCATAAATTTGCATACTTTTGGCGCAAGAAAATTCAGGAAATAGCTATAACTTTGGAGGTAAGAGGGTCTTATTGAACTCTACGGAGTCACTTGACCGTTGGATCCTTTAATATGATTTGTGGTTAAATAAAATAAACAAATTAGAGAGCAAGAGTGCAGTTTAATTAAAATTTTCAAAATTTCATCTCGAACTTCAATCAACAATAATGTTTTTTATAATCCTTAAAATAACACATGAACATAAAAGTTCTATTCTAAATTAATTATCAAAATATTAAGTCAGCTTCTATTTCGAAATCTCAGAAAATTTTATGAAAATTCTCCCACAAATCTGAAAATGATATCTCTTAAAATATGGCAAAATAGCAAAATTTTAAGTATCGACCTCTTCCAGAACCCAATTTCTGACCTAATTTCTCAAAAACCACTAAAATTGATTTCTTCTTGGTTTTTCACCTTAAAATACGATTTAGGTTTATTAAATTAATTAAAATGATTTATTATTAACGTTTCATTTTACAAAATGGTGAAGTTACATGCTAAGATTACCCAAAAAGAGCACATGCTCTTTGGTAAGCACATTCTTACATTTTAGAGGCTGAAGGATGAGTTAATTGAACTCAGGTAGCATGAGAAAGTTGTTTCTCAGGATTTTCACTGTGTGAGGTCTCCCTCTTGATATGAAAGAGGAACCACTAATCAGAAAATATAGGGAAATGAGTGGAGTAGGAATAGAAAGAGAATTTTGCCCTGGTTTTGCTCGAAAAGTCAACTTTTGGCATAATTGATAGGATTTTAGATGTTTGGTTATTTTTATAGAGAAGTGAGCTAAATTTTAATCTAACTAGTTTTTGTAGGAGTCTAAAATCGAATTTCGAGTATGTAATATAGACTGGTAAGCAAATTTTCATATTTAGAATCTTTTATATCAATGAATTTTCTTAAGTTTTATATAATTTTTATTTCCTTATCTTCAACCATCTGGATACTTTCCGGGGTTTTGGGGTTTTGGGGTTTTGGGG